CTTTCCCTTTCTGTTCCTGGTCCTTTCTGTTCCTGCACCTGTTCCAGGCAGTGCTGCTGTGTTCCTGTCCTCACAGTGCTGCCATGGGGCCATTTGAACCCATTTCTCTCCCCACTACACTCCCCTGCACACCCTACAGGACCCCAGCTGGATTCCTAGCACAATAGACCAGCACAATGGGGGAGGTCTAGAAGGCATCCTGATGCTTGTCTAGAAGGCATCCTCAGGCTCCTGTGGGCAGAGGATGTCCATCCCTGTGCTATTGCTGCCATGTCCTGGCAGTGTCCCTCCTTTCAGGGTGCACAGTAAGGAACAAGCCTTTCAGATGTGTTGGGCACAGGTGCAGGCTGGAGGCAGAGCCCATCCATTGTCTTATACCTGCCTGTCCTGGGCATTGTTGCTGGTACTGATCAGCATGTGTTGTGCTTTCCACAGCCCCTGCCCTTGGGCTTAGACCAGCCAGAGAAGAGGGAACAGGGAGCAGAGCCCCAGGGGCTTCGTGTATTAATTTTGCTCTCCTTTGCCCCATGCAGAGTCACGAGAAGTGAGGGCCATTCCTGAGGGGCCCGAGCTGCCTCAAGAGCAAAGGAAGAAGCAGGGGTGTTCGCCTGGCCGGACCCTTCCAGCAGACGGTCAGGGTCCCTGGGGGGGCAGGCGCCTGCAAGGAGAAAACTGACAGTGGTTGGAGGCCCGAAGGCACCCCGCCTTCCCCACCCATCATTGCTGGAGGACTCGTGGGCCGCGAGCCAGGCAGGCTACGCCAACGCCCCTGGGAGAAAGGGGTCTCAGGTACCTCTGGGCCAACTGAGGCTGCACCAGCCAATTGCCTGCCTTGACAGGGTGCCCCGGAGCAGGGAGCAGCACTACACCATGAGCAAAACCCCCTGCTGGTGCCACTCGTTAACATATCAGAAACAAATGGATCGAAATCTTCCTCTCTGAACCCTTTCTACACTGTGTGTGTGTGCGCGTGTGCGTGTCCTGGGGGTGGGGAGGGTTTTATACATTTTGTATCTTTGTAATCAGAGAGAAGAGAAATTTCTATGGTTATTTTTACGGAACTTTCTGTTCCTGTTGCCGCGATGCTGACGGCGACTGCAGCCAGGGTCTCGCGGGGCTACGGCCTCCCCAGCGCAGGCTCTGGGCAGGGGGAGGCCAATGTGCCATGGAGCCCCCTCCCAGCGAGCAGTGTTCTTCAGGACTCTCCTGCGTGGCGTCCCATCCCGGGGCTGTCTCCTGTTCTTGGGGAAGCGACAGTGCCAGGCAGGCAGAGAGAGGCAGCAGTGCCTCTGCTGGTGCCCCAGTCCTGACCCACAGCACTCCCTGCCCCCCTTGACCCTGCCAGTGCCCCTCCTTCCTGACGTGGTGCCCTCACAGTCACCCAGGCCAGAGCCCCGGGCCAGCCATGCGCACCAGCCTTCCTCTGCAGCCCCCATCTGAGTCCAGAGCAGAGGCTGCCATGAGAGGGGTGAGCTGGTGGAGCCCCCCTGGCCGTCAGTCTGAGCTGAGCTGTGTCACTCGCCACCAGTTAGTAACAGGGGCAGAGGAGAAAGAGCTCCAGCGTAGTGTGTCTGTTCAGCAAGCGGGAAGGCAGGGCTCAGTGGGGACAGCTGCTGAGGCACTAAGCCCTCTGTGAAAACTCTGCTTCACATCCTAGTCTTCCTAGACCTGTCTTGCCCTCCCACTCCTCTGGCCACCCCCCCCGCAGTGCCCTCTGACAGCACTGGTGATGGGAAAAGCCTCTTGGTTCCTGATCCAGCATCAAATATCAAGTGTTTGCCTCTCTCCGACTTGGATGTATAAGGGCAACCCCCCTCCTGCCTACAATCCTAGGAGCCTTGGGGTTGGCACCTGCCACAGAGAGGGGGGCAGATGCCATGGGGAAGCCTGGGGGCTCAGGTGGGGCCGTTTCTTTTAGAGCTAGCAGTCTCCCAAACTGCAGTCAAAGGAACGAGCACTGAAAGTGGCTTAGCTGGTACAGAAGCATGGGCTGGGGGCACCGGCAAAGCACCTTCATGCCTCCCTCCCAGCACATATGGGAGCTAGTGACTCCTGTGCCTGCTGCAGGAAAG